GCATAGTAATCGCTGATTTTACTGCTGGTGGATCTTCTGAGAGCCCTTCAAAGTTTATAAAACTCAGTTTCCAGGTGGTCAACATACATTAAGTTCTCCCAATCGTAGTATTCCATGTGATTTACATCCTGACATGCCAAAAATGTTGTTGAACGATTTGAACTGGATAAAAATAGCAGACGAAAATGTGTTTACAAAATAAAAATAGTTCGGTAGCCAATGAAAATACCATGTTTCATTTGCATATCGACCGTGAAAATACCGAAAACATTATTGCATGGGTGATATGCAAATTAGTTTGGGCCAAAATAAGTGACTGCCTAAAAGTACCATTACTGTTGTTCAAATTTCATTTCACTCGGCAAGTATATTCATGTACCCCAAGGGGAAAATATCATACTTCTAAATATTATTTATTTCGAAAAACTGTACTCCGGAAGGGACTACTTTGTTTGCTCTCAGACCTCATTTGCATATGGGTTGTGGAAATACCGATTTTGATTTCAGGGACGAATCAAAATACACTGCAGTACATATGTAATAATACATCAGAGGTGTTCCTAACAGACTGGATTCTGATTACAATACTGGAACTACTGCATAAAACTGTTCTTGTTTGAAAACCAACAAATAGATTTCTTTCTTCTTGGTTCAATTGTTAAAGAGAATGTGCTGTTAAGACTTGCTTGCAGTCTGTTGCGATTCCAATGAAAAATTCTTGAAAAATAAATATAAATTGTGAGGGGTGAACACGAAAGTCATGTGACCACGAAATCTAAACAGACTTTTCATCAGTGTAAGCGCCCTCACATTACCGGCCAGATTCGGGCTTGTAAATTTGCTTATAATGTGATCGACATGTCTAATATGTTTCAACCAATCAGAAGACAGGCTAATTAACATTAAGACTGCACACAATACAGATAATTTCTTGCGTTCTCGGAGGAACGATGGTTATTTTACTTAATTTTGTTGGCGTCAACAACATGGTAACATTGCACGTGCCCGTGTTTACTTGTCTCACGCCATGTCCGGTTTATTGTCATGATCGGTGGCTCGGCTGCTCCACCCACCATAATAAATAATAATAAAGATAATTTATTGCATCCTTAGAAATACAGTGTTTCCATCAGTTTATATGACGTATATGCAAATTTACAAGCCCGAATGTGGCTGGTAATGTGAGGGCGCTGACACTGATGGCAAGTCTGTTTGAATTTGTGGTCACCTCTTGCAATTTCAATTCAGCAAAGTTTTAGGAAATTCCTGTCACAAAAAGTGGTGGTCACTACCACCCAGTAGTTGTAAGAACTTTTAAACTTGTTCAAAAATCTTCGTTACAGAATTCAGAAGTTATACTGATCAAAATCTGACTTATTGCACAGTTTATCGATGACAGTTTGTTTTTCCTGCAATAAATCACTGATGCTGCATTTATGTTCAAATTCTGATTTAGGTCGTACCAAAATAAACTAACCTAGGAAGAGAGAAAGGACATAACATGTGATGTTGGACGCTGCAGTAATGCGAGTAAAATAGTTGGGAGGGGCCATATACAGGAAAGAAGGGTCTGGTATACATCTGACTAATCTTGAAGCATGGCGGTTGCCTTGCTATGCATGCACGAGATATGGGTATTGTATGAATAAAAATGGCAAGTTTGACTGCAGTTCGAAGCAATAAGTAGAAATTAAGACATTACCAAGCTTATAACTAGGTAATTTCTTTGGTGATTGGAAGGTATCGAAGGAGTAATCAGTGGTAATTAATGGACATTACAAGTCGGGTCAAAACTCCTACTTGTGATTCGAGTTAGAAGAATGTTTTGAATTATGGGGAATTCAACACAAATGTCGCAAAAGATCATCACCTTTTAAATTCAAAAATACTTAAATACTGATTTTGCAAAAATTTTACGAAACTGAATGCTACTGTATTGCTCGGATATTGGCAAGGCTGATTATCTTGCAAATATCGCAGCGTGGCGTAGCATTTATTTCAGAGCACATATAGCAAAAACTTCAAACCAAGCCAACAATACAACTTACACTTGACTATATTGTAAATACTACTAAAGAAAGAGACCAATTGGAATGCCAATGTATACACTGTACATACGTACTTCTTTTATTTGTCTTCACACATGGCAATGAATTGTGGTGACTAAATGGACGTAATAATTGAGCGTCAGCAATGCTTGTGTTGTAACATTAATAAAGTCCACAGCTATATAGCAATATGTTTAAAATGGCTGTACCCTTAAAAAACAGGCAATGAACAGAAACAATTTGGTTATGGAAGAAGAGAGAAATCCAAGCAGACACCGTATTTTAAAAAAAAAAACCTTCATATCAAGTGTACTGTAAAACAAATAAACTCAGTAATATATATTTGGCATGATTGTGAAATTTTGACTCCACTGAAAGTGCTAAACATTGACAAAAGCAGTTTTCATCCATAATTCATGGAGCAAAAGCCTAACTAGATTGCTAGATTAATGTGTGGCCATAGAATGATTGTCGGATAGAATAATTTCCATAGCAACAATAATTTATATATGGCTGTTATTACAACGATGCCTTTCACATGATATCATGTAACTAATGCAGTCTTAATTGTTAAAGCAACCAGTATCAGTCATAGCACAAAACTCATTACTGGTATGGTAAATTGCAATTAAATTAAGCTGTAATCAAAAAAAAAAAAATTGTAATAATTTGATAACTAGACCCTAGCCAAAGCAGACTTTTTCAATTGGCAGGAGAGACCATCTGAACATACAATGCTATACAGTATGCATCTAAAATGTGAAACTACCGCAAAAGAAGGCGCTCTCAGAAAGAAACAAAAATTGAAGTCACAATACAGTACCACCAAATCAGGTTAAAACAAATACAATTATACAGTTAGTTTAAGTAAGCTGCATGGTCTTTAAAATGTCAGATTATGGTAATTTTTAAAAATGCTGATTGACTCATTACTATATAATTCATCAAAAGTAGTAAAAGTGTCAGATTTGAATCAACATTTATTTGTTCGTATCTTAGTTACTGTTACTATGGCTACAAATAAATTTAATTCTGAAAATTTGATTAAAAAACCATGAAGCTTGCCTTTTATACATTATTTTTGATCGTAGAGAAAAAAACATCACTACACATTATATTCACATTCTAAACTAAATGACAAGACTAACTTTTTTTTTTTTTATTCATAAAAATTGTGACTGCACTTCAGGATTGTTCATCTTTCTGACAATATACCACAGAAGCAGAATGAAACCTGGGTTAATAAGGTACATTTAAAATGAGCTGAACACAGATTTTTAATGCAGAATGAACCTAGGATAAGGTTTATTAAATAATAGGTACAATACAGGAATGAAAATTCTTGCAGTGATCAAAGAGAGAATGAGAGAAATTATGTCAGGTGCCCATTGAGAATCATGTTGCTATGGTTACAGTGCAAGATGCATGGTATTCAGTTACACACACGGCACAACAGCCACATGTACAGCTAAATGCCAGTTTCCAGAATTCCACCAAATTATCATTTTTTTTGAGGAGGGGGGTATGTACAACAGCATGGTTGCTATGACATCTTGTCAACAACCATATTCTTGCTGGCAGTGACTATTAAACTAAGCAGTCTCCAACAGTCAACAGAAATTCTAGTTCTAGTCGCACATTTCTCATTCCTCTGCTTTCATTCTGCTCTGAGAGAGACTTTTAAACACGTTGGCAATCAAGTTGCACCGGCACATACAGTTTAAATAGAAGTTATTGAACAAACTCACTGTTACAGGTATTCTATACATCATTTCCAAGCCATAATGGCCGCCATTATGTCAAGCAATCAACACAGGCTGGCATTATGCCATGTAAACAACGAAGGCTGTCATTGCATCACTTAACCAACATAAGTTGCCATGATAGCCGTCATGTCATTTAACTAATACAGGCCGCCAATGCATCAACATAGTAACAGTCAATGTGTTAATCTGAAATCCAAGAAACATTGAAAACTTGTTTTTAAAGTGCATCATCATTATGACATGTGAATGTGGGAAAGGCATCACTAATCTAACACTAACAACACACAAGTTAGACATCCAAATAGAGTGTCTGATGATACATTAACGCCACCACAATGACACCTCGTGCAAATACCATCAACTTGTAAAAGTGTCTTGTATCCCACATAGTAGCTAACAGACATAACATCCATCGTGCATTGACATAAGCCCTTGCTTCACAATAACATCCACAGAAGTGAACGTCCTTTCAATACATGTACGTCTTACATTACAAAACAGCTATCCCAGAATGCAACAGATCACTAAGAATAATGAAAGACAATGCACCTTTACCCAAATTTAAAGACCAATACCCAAGTTATCTGTTTAGTTCCATTACTTGATATACCCCTGCACATTTACATAGTGGCAGATTCCAGTGAAATATTTTGAACTGCGCGATTGTGGTCTAAAATACACAAAAATTACTATCTACACAAATCTCTAATGTACTTTTAACTGCTTCATAAAAATAAAAATACTAGCATAGTTTTTTTATTTAAAAAAAATGGAGAAGACAAGGCAAGAGAGCTGTTCTCTATGTCTATAACAATTTACAGAGAGTTACTTGGAATACATCTAACAATAGAGAATTTTCAAATTTCATCTCAAAAACAGCCACCCGCCCTCCAGTGTTAGCAACCTCACAAAACCTGTGTTTTTGAGTGCTACTATATTTACTTGGGATCTACATGTATTGAGAAAATCTGAAATATTTTCAAAAAATTTCACTTTTTAGGTTGAGCTAAAGGTTTTCTAAAATGAGCCAGCTTACTCTTCCTCTTCTTCACCTTTCCCTTTTTTCTCTTTTTTCTTCAAGAATGATGGCGTACGAAAACCTTTCTTTTTCTTGTCTTTTTCCTTCTTTTTTGGTGATGTTTCCTTAGTTGGGGAGTCTTCTTTACTACTTCCGCTCCTTCCTTCTTTCTCAATGGTGGACGTGCGACTTTCCTGACCTCCTTTCTCGGGTTCAGCATCTATGTCTGTTTCTATGACAGTCTTCTTGACTGTTGTCACCGTCGTAACGATTTCTTGGTCACCTAAGAAGGAAAACGTAATAAAAGAACGATAATAAATTTAAAGATGCATAGTTAGCTATATACAATACATGGAGATTTCATACACCATAGATAACTATATACAATACGTGTAGATTTCATACACCATAGTTAACTACCGTATTTATCCGGGTATAAGCCCAGGGTCTTGAACATGGGAAATTGCCAAAAAGAAGGGGTGGGCGTTTGCCAGGAGATCCCCGGCAAAAAAACCCGAAAATTCACGAAAATTGACAACACGCAGATTGAACTGCGGCAGGGAATAGAACGGCAAATGAAAACATGCAACGTAAATAAATGAACAATATGCAACACTAGAAGTAAAACAAAAATAAAATATTGCTTATAACGTGACAAATAAACCAGAAATAAT